TCAGAGTGAAATAGAGCTCATGTTGGCAGTATGATCATAACATGAAAGGAACACTAGATAAGATATTCAAGGTAGTATTAACAATTTTTTGGCAAGTCTTGTTACAGGAGTAGGGCTTATTTATATGAACTGACTGGTATGGTATCACCATACTATTTTATGTTTTGGTCCTTATGCTTCATCATTGGTTATTAACAGTTTTTTTTTTTTCTTTTTAAATCAAACATTGCTTAAAAACAAAACAAAAAAAAAAAAACTATAAATTGGGTTATTTAGTCAACATGGTACCAGCAGTATTTTTTGGTGTGAATGGTGACTAAAATAATGACAGTTATTGAATAAAATGTATTCTGTTCTTAATGCATAATGATAAAATATAGTTCCATATGAATATCTACTCAACTATTGGCAACTGCAATATATGCTAATGCATGTATTAAATCTTGGGTCAAGGTGAATGTTGTGTTTTTGAGCATTATTATGATGTTGCAGTGGACAGGAGCTCTTTTAATTGTATTGATCGTGAAGGTGCTCACAGACTGAGATCGATGCGGAGCAAGCGCTCGCTCTGTTGTCAGTTATACGCTGTGACTCGGCCGAGTGTTCTTGAGTTCTTATCAGAGCAGATGGAGCGCGCACGAAGCAGTTCTCCTGTCGCATGGCTTTTTTGCCTTCTTTTTGATAAGGCCATTTCTTCTGCCCTTGCACTTAATACACTCTATCTTCGTGATAATGTCATGCGGTATGACGTCTGACTGTGATATGCTCTCTACATATACTTTTTGTGCTAATGTCTCTGTGTATTATCATTGCTGGCTGGAATAGGTCACAGTGCTCAAAGTGCATGAAATTCCTGGCCTCTTGAATCTCATAAACAGAAGCCTTTTGATTATGAGAAAGGACATTTTGTTTAGTTTTTTCTTATTTTTGGGGGTATTTATTTTCCTCTTCTCATGAGATATTTTTTCTTCATTTGTGGCCGCTTATCTCTGATGATTGGATCCATTCTAATGGTCTTGTCAACTGTTGAGTCCACTGTCAGGCGTCATTATTGTTTAATTGGCTTCGGATGACATTTGAATAATATTTCTTCTCTGTCTCTCCATCACTTGGCAGGGCAGAGCACCTGAAGTGAACACACTGAAAGGTGCCGGGTTTGCCGTATAACCAACCCGATCTCACGGGAATTCGTACGAATTTTACGAGGTGGCTAATTCGTAACAATTCATACGACCTCACTCGTACAAATTAGTACGATTTTGCTAAATCGTACATATTTTACGAATTGGCCAATTCGTATGAATTCGTACGAATGGCCTATCCCTGACCCCGCCCCTAAACCTAACCATCATGTGGGTTTAGACAAATCGTATGAATTCGTACGAGTGAGGTCGTACGAATTAGCCACTTTTTAATCACTCTTACGAATTGGTACGAATTGGTCGTGAGATAGGGTAGGTATAACATATCCCTGTACGGTAGGGCTGGGTAATAAATATCGATTTCTCGATATTAATCGATTCTCGTTTTTACGAAGCGATATCGATTCTTAAATCTCAAGAATCGATTAGTCATCCTGTTTCATTTGAATGAATGGGACATTGTATCGCGGCTGCACGCATCCAAAAAATCGCAATAATCTTTGTCCTTTGTTAATATTGATATGAAACAAAGTCTCAATTTTCAAATTACGTCCATTTTCTTTAGAAATGTAAAAACATACTGTAAATAATGTTTTGGCTCTGTGGCGTGAGATCGCTCTTCCGGCTTAATAATACCAGTCACAGCGCGAAATAAACATGAATGAGCATCTGAAAGTGTGTTAAAGACAGAGTACAACTTATCGAAATCCGTATCATGTCACATTGATTCGCTCAATCAGCGTTTCAACCGTGGAAAGCCGTTAGTTAAACAGCTTGTAATTAATGTCATGTATCGTCATATTTACCTCAGAAAACCCACATAAACTCGTTAATCAGCTAGAAAAAATAACTCTAGAGAGGAGCATTTTGCTAAATATATACACCATATTACATATGCATTATAATATTAATATTTAATGCATATTTGAATAAATCTTGCAAGTTTTCATGACAGCCACCATTTAAATGTTTATGTTGCATATAATCTTTTTATTATAAAAAAAAATAAAAGTGTAATTTAAGTGTTTGTATAGCTTCAAAACAATTCATTACTACCTTCATATTAGGCTAATGAAGCCTAGTAGGCTACAACTAGACTCCCATAGTTTACAGCATTAGTTAAGAGATTTGATTCCCTTGAGAAAAATGGCCATTTATTGTAACTGATATTCAAAATAATCGATATTGAATCGAATCGAAATCGAATCGAATTGCAAGCTTGTGAATCGAAATCGAATCGAATTGTGAAATTTGTCTCAATACCCAGCCCTACTGTACGGTACACCCTACATCACCAATTAGTTTGCAGTCCAGATCCAGACCCGAGAGACTAGTTCTTCCTGGAATGTGAATCGTTTATCATAAATGAATGTAATTATAACAGCATTTTTTATTCTCCACAAGGAGAAGCTGAACCTGATTTTGAAAACAAAAACATTTACGCTATTTTCAGGAAGAGTTTACATGTTAAAAACAGATAAAATTGCAACTTGATCTATTTTACGAGGTGGCGAATTCGTACGAATGACCCGCCCCTGACCCCGCCCTTAAACCTACTCAAATTTTAGACAAATCGTATGAATTGGTTGTTAGATACCGTTGGAAATTGTCATATGGTGCAACCATTATTATTAAAAAAATAAAATAAAATTACCTTACACCAGTGTTGTAGTCGAGACCACCTCACTCGAGTCCGAGTCGACACCGAGACCAGAGAGAGTCGAGTCCGAGTCAAGACCGAGTCCATAGAGAGTCGAGTCCGAGTCGAGTCCGAGACCAGAGACGGTCGAGTCTGAGTCGAGACCGAGACCAGTGAGGGTTGATTACCTAACTTACTTTTATTTACTTAGAGAAATCCTTTTTTTATTTTACTGAATTTACTTAGAGTTTAAAAAATATGATCAGTTTAGGGTAAAAAGGCCACATAGTAGGTGGTGTTAAAAGTAATTTTATTACAATTTGTCATGCGCAGTTGCGCACTAGAAAATCACCAATCACTGGGCGTGTCAATCAATTTAAAGAAATATTTTATTCACATACATTAATAATCATGAAAAATATTTTGAATTGAACTCGAGTGGACTCGGGAATAATTCCGAGTCCTAAAAAAAAAGTGTTCGAGTACGAGTCAATTCCGAGTCCAAATGGACACGAGTCCATGACAAGACCAAGACCATTAAAATATGGTCTCGAGACTGAGTCCGAGACGAGTCCGAGTCTCGAGTACTACAACACTGCCTTACACCTTAAATACATTTGAGTGTCAATCGTTTATCCTTTTAAAATGACTTCAAATGAAAATTATTTTGACATTATTAATTCATAAACATAAAGCATTTGGGGAGTCGCACCACATGACAGTTTAGAACCTGAACTAACCTTCCCTTGTCCTGAAAAGGTCAGGTTTGATAAGTTAAGACACTTAATCACCTTATTTTTGTGCATGATTGTAACGAGTGGTTATTTCAGTCAAAGTTGCCCTTCTATCAGCTTGAATCAGTCGGCCCATTCTCCTCTGACCTCTAGCATCAACAAGGCATTTTCGTCCACAGGACGGCCGCATACTGGATGTTTTTCCTTTTTCACACCATTCTTTGTAAACCCTAGAAATGGTTGTCCGTGAAAATTGCAGTAACTGAGCAGATTGTGAAATACTCAGACAGGCCCGTCTGGCACCAACAACCATGCCACGCTCAAAATTGCTTAAATCACCTTTTCTTTCCCATTCTGACATTCAGTTTGGAGTTCAGGAGATTGTCTTGAGCAGGACCACACCCCTAAATGCATTGGATCAACTGCCAAGATATTGGTTGATTAGATAATTGCATTAATGAGAAATTCGTACAGGTGTACAGGTGAACAGGTGTTCCTAATAATCCTTTAGGTGAGTGTATGTCATTATATTATATTATATTATATTATATTATAAGTGTCATTATAGACATTCCATCTCCTCTTCAGCAGTGGATAGTTTTGCAATTCATCTTAAAACCCTTCAAAAGCAGCCATTTTCCTTTAGCTTGTGAAGAGCCATTGAGTCACATGAGAGCAGTGGTTGTTCAGGAGTGTCTGTTGAGTGTCATCGGGGACAAGGATTTGGTTGGTATGAGGTAGGTGGGGGGGGGGGGGGGTTCTTACACTTTATTACAAACTAAAAACATTCACAGCATCCTCTTTGCAAATCACTGCATTTTTCGTTTATGCGCTTGTCAGTTTTCCGACACGCGTGCACCTTAGGATGTGAAACATTCATTATCTTGTCTCGCACAGGCGTCAAACCCTCCCTATCTACCCAACAGTTCGTGGTGCAAAACAACTTTGCTGAATCGTCTTTAGTGGTTTTTGTTTCGTTTGAAAATGCTTGCTCAACAATCATGGAAGGACCTGAGGTATTTACGCTAGAGATTTTTCTTTCGAAAGTCCTTGAAAGTATGGAGAAGAGAGGGGAACCGTGACGCATTGCTCTGTGAGCCTGTAAACATTCAACACTTTGACTAATAAAAGTGTTAACCATGTGGCAGATTTCCTTGAGCTGCTCGCGCACCATAAAACTCTACGTCACGAGTGATAAAGCAGAAAGGCCTTTAGGTTGCTGCTGTACACCATCAATTTGGCTCACAGTTTTGCTTATCCGCTATACCTGGCCGTCGGTCTTGAGATATGAATGGAGCGTCTCACAGATGCCGAGGGAAAGACGCTCGTGTTTCGGTGTGTGAAAGGAAATGGCCTGTGAAAGGGTTTTTTGTGCAGTTGTGATTAAATTGCTCAGCCATGTAGCAGACCAATGTTGTGGATGCAGACCAATGATTAGACCAATGGTTTTCAACCCTTTCTTTCTCTCTTTTTTTTTCCCTCTAGGCCTTGTAAAGCTCGGGATCCACTGTGTCACATGTCAGAAAGTCGCCATAAAGATTGTAAACCGAGAAAAGCTCAGCGAATCCGTGTTAATGAAGGTAAGATTTCATTCTTTCTTGGGAAATATCAGATTTACACACAAAAACAGAAATAATTCACTCATAAATGTAAATTGTCATCATTTCCTCACCCAAACCTTGATACTTACTTTCTAACTATGAAACACAAAAGGAGACATTTAGCAGAATGTCAACGCTGCTCATTCCATACAATGAAACTGAAAGGTGAACAGAGCATATATTTTAAGACTAAGTCTTCTGAAGTTATACTGTATGGTAGTTTTTTTATTTTTTATTTATTTAAAGTCATTGTTCTCTGAAAATCTTTCCCTTTGTTGCAGCTATCAAATGTAAAAAAAAAGTTGATGACGGCAAACGATTTTGTTCTTGTGTCTTTTAAATCTAGAGGTGCCATATTTGCATATCTGGCTGAATAACAAATTTGTGCTCACGTAAAACATAATGCACTTGTAAGTCATATTGACTTCTTTGATACTGTTATGATGCTTGGAGCGCGTCAATGCTCACTATTATTGTATCTAAAAAAAACAGCATGAATATCCTATTTGCTTTTCAAGAAAACGAAAAGTCATACAGGTTTGGAACAATGTGTTGGGTGATTAATATGTTTCTCCCTTTAGTTTGTCCTAAAGTTGTTTAAAAATAAAGATAAAACAAATTAATTGATGAATGAAACCGAGACTACAGCCTCATAATGATATTTATATCCTGTAAAACTATACTCTGGGTAGTAGTTGGGCCATAATTATCTCCTCTGATAAAAGCTGTCGTGGGAACACCAAGACTAAAACCCAAGACCAAAGAACCTGATTAAGGATAATTGTCTTTCAAGGGAGGCGTATTAAATTATGAGATGCTTGTTATTATGTGGAAATGGGGGCAAACTTGTAGAATGCCTTACTTTAGAAATACCATCTACCATATCATTTTAGATGCAAACGTATGTAGTTAACTGTCTTCCTTTTGCTCTAACGGATATTAATGAGGAAGGGATTTGGCTTGGATAAGCAGCAATAAATAAACTCAGCAAGATTAGAGACCGTAAACTCTACAATTCTTTCAGACATTTGCACATTTGAGGTTTTTCCAGGAGGCCGAGGCCCAAATTAAGATCTTTTTGGAAACAAGCAGCACCCGAGGCTTAGAGACTGAAGGTTTTTTTGGACTGGCAACTAAAATACACACCAGTTATGTTGTGAGCGTGTGAGTCAAAAATGGTTTCGGTTTATTTCAATGAAATATATGTACTTTATAGTTCGATAATGTTTTTTTATTTAATAATTCGTATTTTTAGGGGATTTTATGGTACTAAATTATATTACATTTTTTATGAAAGCGTCATAAACCTCTTTTCAAAGGCAACACTTGGCAGGTTATTGCTAAAGTGAAAAAAGTTGTAGAATTTTGCGTTTATCGTCATGAAAAATGTGCAAAAATACTATTTTAAAACATATATATTTTCAAAAACATGTATTACATATATTCACATAGCAAGTGACAAAACCTTTACCAAGTTTCGTACCATTTCGATGAAGAAAAATCCCCCCCCCCCAAAAAAAAACTAATGTAAACATGTTCAGTCAAAAATGGCTGTAGAGCACCAGACGGTAAACATTTTCAGAGTCATCTACAGTGATCTAATCTTTTGGATGTAACCAAAAGATACAAAACACAGCGAAATTCCAGATATTTTGTGTGCATGTGTGTGTGCGTGTTGATGTATGTGCGTTTTGTCTTCAAGTTTAAAGAAAAATGGTACGGAACATGGCATCACCATTGTACCACCAGTTCAAAAACACGTGGACATTTTTAAAGCGCTGCTCTCTGCGCTTATGGCAGCCAATCAGAAACCCTCAACGAGTGGGCAGCCAATCAGAAGCCCTCACTGGGCGGGCAGCCAATCAGAACCCCTTGCCGAGCGAGCACGCATTCAGAAGCCCTGGCCGATTAGACAGCCAATCAGAAGCCCTGACCGAGCGGGCAGCCAATCAGAAGCCCTCACCGAGAGGGCAGCCATTCAGAAGCCCTCGCCGATCGGGCTGCCAATCAGAAGCCCTCACCGAGCGGGCACCCATTCAGAAGCCCTAGCCGAGCGGGCAGCCAATCAGAAGCCCTCACCGAGAGGGCAGCCATTCAGAAGCCCTCGCCAATCGGGCTGCCAATCAGAAGCCCTCACCAAGCGGGCAGCCAATCAGAATCCCTCACCGAGCGGGCAGCCAATCAGAATCCCTCGCCAAGTGGGCACGCATTCAGAAGCCCTGGCCGATCAGACAGCCAATCAGAAGCCCTGGCCCATCAGACAGCCAATCAGAAGCCCTGACCGAGCGGGCAGCCAATCAGAAGCCCTCACCGAGAGGGCAGCCATTCAGAAGCCCTCGCCGATCGGGCTGCCAATCAGAAGCCCTCAACGAGCGGGCAGCCAATCAGAATCCCTCACCGGGCGAGCAGCCAATCAGAACCCCTCGCCAAGCGGGCACCCACTCAGAAGCCCTAGCCGAGCGGGCAGCCAATCAGAAGCACTCGCTGAGCAGGCAGCCAATCAGAAGCCCTCGCCGAGCGAACACGAGTCTAATCAGCACCAACACTTCCACATGAACTCCAAACGACCCGACTGCTCTTCAGAAACAACGAAGACGACTAAACTCACACTAATCATATGCTCCTCAGGTCTAAAGAGTCTGTGTTTACAATGTAATTTATTCCACATATCACATAAATAATGCATGTTCCACCCTGCCTGATCTTCAAGTTTAATGTGACTACAACAGATATTACAATTTGCAGCCGTTGTTTTCATGTAATTACTTCGGTATGAGGTAAAAGTCGATTTGAACAGCCACCTATTTATCTCCACATGGGTTTGAGAGAAGAGGGGGCGGATTTTCAGGGTTATGTTGGACGGCGGTCTCTGTGTGGAGCATATGTGTGTGTGTGTGTGAGTGTATGTGATTTGGTGTGCTGTCTTACTCTTGGCTTTGACATTCTCATTGTTGTCATCCTGTCACCGAGATGAATATGGGCTATCCCAGCACCTGCCTCTCCTCTCATTCCTGCGGCTCCAGACCAGCATTGCAAATGTCACCTTTTTAAATGCAAATGTTGCATTCGCTGTTTCCGTCCTGGCACCTACGCCCCGAAGCCGTGTCCCGCTGGGAATGAGACTCTAACAGTCATTCTTTCCAGTGTCCACATCACTGATTTTATTTGTAGATGTAGAGGACATAACCATATGAAGTCCTCACAAGCACACATGGGTCAGACTCACAGCAGCCGTGCTGAAGGATTATAAGAAAGAGGATTTAGATTGAAAAAGATGATGTTATGGAAGCTATGAGAGTTAGAGAAGGACTTCAGTTTGGGCTTAAATAAATAGTTCACCCAAATGTGAAATTCTGTATTCGTTCACTCAGTCGCATTTCTTTTTGAATCCATTTGGATTCGTTTCTTCTGGTGAACACAAAAGGAGATGTTTTTCAGAATGTCCATGCTGCACTTTTCTGTACAGTGATAGTCAATAGTGACCATTTCTGTAATTTTCAGTAAATAGCAGATGTAATTTGGGCTTGTTTATCACACAAAGCTGTTATTACTTACGTATGTAATATAGACAACTTACGTTTATATTTTAACATCCTTTTTTGTGTAGCTTAACTAACCCAGTGTTATTTTAGTCCCTGAAATAAAACCGAAAGGGCAATTTACTATTAGTTATTAAAGGAGTAGTTCACTTTTGACAAAACTTTTGCTGATAATTTACTTACCCCCATCATCCATGATGTCCACGTCTTTCTTTCTTCAGTCGAAAAGAAATTGATGAAAACATTCCAGCATTTTTCTCCATATAATGGACTTCAGTGGGAACCAAACGGTTCAAGGTCCAAAAGACACTTCCAGTACAAACTGCAAACTGTTCAAAGGGCTTTAAATGATTCCAAATGATGAATAAGGGTCTTATCAAGAGAAACGATCGCTCATTTAAAAAATAAATAACAAAGTTTAAGTTTTATAAGCTCAAATGCTCGCCTTGCTCTGTTCTGTGATGCGCGTTCGTGACTCTCCTGTTTGAACTCTATTTAGCAAAATAGAGCTCTAATTAACTCTAATTAACAAATCTTTTTCCGAGTCATTTGGTTCATTCAACAAACGAAACGAACGAATTGACTCGGAAGAAGATTCGTTCATTTTGATGAATGAGTTCGAACTGGGGAGTCACAAACGCACATCACAGAACAGAGCAAGGCGAGCATTTGAGCTTATAAAACTTAAACTTTGTTATTTTTTTTTTAAACGAGCGATCGTTTCGCTTGATAAGACCCTTATTGATCGTCTGGTGTCGTTTAAAGCCCTTTGAACAGTTTGCAGTTTGCACTGAAACTGTCTTTTGGACCTTGAACCGTTTGGTTCCCTTTGAAGTCCATTATATGGAGAAAAATCCTGGAATGTTTTCATCAAAAACCTTCATTTATTTTCGACTGAAGAAAGAAAGACATGGACATCTTGGATGATATGGGGGAGAGTAAATTATCAGCAAAAGTTTTTTTTCAAAAGTGAACTACTCCTTTAAAGGTTGTTGGCCCCGATTTTTAGATGAACTGTCAGATACCCGGAAGTTTTTAAATTGTTTGGATTGTGACAAAGTTGACTTTCCAGAACGCTATATGACAAAACGGCGCTATACTACGCATATGGCACCCTTTATCGTTAATATAACACGCGAACCCAAAACGTTATAAATCCTTTAGCGTGAATATGACACGCACACCCTACCCCACACCTAAACTTAGCCCTCACAGCGCGTGTTATATTAACGATAACGGGTGCCATGTGCGTAGTATAGCGCCGTTTTGTCATATAGCGTTCTATATGACGCTAAAGGATGAGAACGGGCTGGACACAACCACCTAGCTAGTTGTAACACACATGGTTTAATTCCCACACATGCAAGCATGACAAGTGTATTTACTGTTGCCATATCAACACTACAGAGAAAGAAATGTGCCCAAACTAAACAGTCTTTA